AATGGAAGAAATGAAATAGTCCATAAATAGGACCAGCTGGATTTATTAAGCTCTCAATGGGGGTCTGGAACAGTGCTAAGCACTTTGCATGCTAGTGTGACCCTGAGTCCTTGTGACAACTCATGAGCTGCAGGTAACAGGTGAAAAAACTAAGGTGCAGAGAAGTCAGGTAAATTGTCCATGGTCCTACATATAGTCAGTGGTATGCCAAGATAACATTTAAAGTTCCACAGCTCCATTATTGCATGCTTGCTAAATCAAAAGTTTGTCTCACCTTACTCTTATCATCTTTCACAGCTTTATCAGAGGGGTAAGGGACATACCTTCCAGGGAGAACAGGCCTATTGACTATGAGTCTTTTACAGAGGAAATGCGTGAAGGCATTTGGTAGATGGATTTGGTAGATTTTACTTGGTACTGCATCTCAGGGAGGGCAAGACCTCTGAGTTGCCATGGTAACAAAGAGGAGCTGCTCAAAAGCCTATTCCCTGTGTTGCAATGATCCCTCCTTGTAAATTTTATTTGGGAACAAATCCAGCAATTTGCTATGATGTGGTTGCCATTGGTGCTGCTGTTTAATTTTAGATTTATGTCTAAATATATATATATATATATATATATATATATATATATATATATATATATATATATTTTACTTTGAAAGTTAGTTAATCATATTACAGAAAATTTGGAAAAGGATAAAAATATAAAATCTACATTCACCCAACCCAAACTAACCTATTGGAATCCATTTTTTAAAATTATTGAGATATATTTATATGCCATCAAATTCATAATTTTAAAGTATACAATTGAGTATTTTTTAGTATATTCAAAGTATACTAAAAGGTTCCGCAATCATTACCAACATCTAATTCCAGAGCATTTTCATTACCCCAATGAGAAATTCTATACTCATTAACAGCTACCCACATGCCTGCTTCTCACAGCCCTAAGAAAACATGGATATACTTTCTTTGTCTATAGATTTCTTTATTCCGGACATTTCATGTTAATAGAGTAATAAAATATGTTGTATTTTGTATGACTGGCTTCTTTCGTTTAGCATAGTGTTTTAAAGTTTCATTCAGATTTTAGTATATGTCAATACTTTATTCCTTTTCATTGTCAAATAGTATTCCATTATATGAATATGAAACATTTTGTTTATCCATTCATCAGTTGATGGAAGTTTGGGTTCTGTCATTCATTCTGATGTTATTTTTCAGAGAGGAATTCTGTCTCCACCATCTATTAGCACTTTGACATTGGGAAAATATCTTAATGTTTATCAGACAAAATAAGTCTTTTCAACTCTCAATGATACTAATACTTATTTCATAAGTGTTCCTTTTTAATTGTATATATTTTTGTTTTTATTTTTTGAAGATTAATTAAATAAACTATGCATAGTTTGATACACAGGGGCTTCTTCCTAGGGATATTTGTGTCTCCCCATGGATTGTCTTCTTTTCATTATGTTGTTCCTACTCTGCCACCCACAGATACCATTACTTAATGAGCACTGTTAGAAATACATTTAAATTTTTTTCAGAAAATAATATATAACCAACATGAAGATAGCAGTGATATATGAAAGCTTAAACTCTGTCCATGACTTTTTCTTACCCAAATGCCAATCCTATATAATAAAGAGGTAATATGCAAATTGACCCTCATGCCCTCACGTGACAAGATTGCTGTCCCCATGTCATCACAAGATGGCCATCCCCGCATTATCACAAGATGGCTGCCACAAGATGGCCACCCCCACATCATCACAAGATGGTCACCCCCACAATGTCACAAGATGGCCAGAAGGGGAGGGCAGTTGAGGGCAACCAGACCTGCAGGGGAGGGCAGTTGAAGGTGGCCAGTCCGTCAGGGGAGCATTTAGGTGTCAATCAGGCCAGCAGGGGAGTGATTAGGGTGCTATCAGGCTGGCAGGCAGAGTGATTAGGGGCAATCAGGCAGGCAGGCAGGCAGGCAAGTGGTTAGGAGCCAGCAATTCCGGATTGTAAGAGTGATGTCTGACTGCTGGTTTAGGCCCAATCCCACAGTTAGACATCCCCCTGGGGTCCCACATTGGAGAAGGTGCAGACTGGGTTGAGGGATATCCCCCCAATGCATGAATTTTGTGAACCAGGCATCTAGTCTATATATATATATGTTATAACACATATGTATGTGTTATAACATATATAACATATGCATAATATGTTAATTGTCCCTCTGCTTGACTGTTTGACCAGTAGCTATGACACACACTGACCATACGGGCCAAATGCTCCGACCTGTAGGTTAACTGCTGCTGGGGTCAGCCAATCGAGACTGGGTGAGACAGGCCAGACACACTCTGGAGCCTCCCAGAGTCCCTCCCTGATCAGCCAACCTCCCATGATCCCTCCCCAGCCAATTGGGACTGGGAGAGATAGCCCCAATTGCCCCTGATTGGAACTGGGCTAGAAAGGCCAGACATGCCTTAAAGCCCTCACATGGTCCCTCCCTGGACCCAATCATGCAACCAGTGGGGCCCCTTGGCCTAGCCTGCACCCTCTCACAATTCAGGACCTCTCAGGGGATGTTGGAGAGCCAGTTTCAGCCCAATCCCTGCATGCCAAGCCAAGGGACCCCATTGGTGCATGAATCCATGCACTGGGCCTCTAGTCCTATATAATAAAAGCCTAATATGCAAATTGGGAGTTTGTCCAGGGGGTGGGGCCAGCAAGCCAACTGCCCATGGCCCTTCCAAACCATGGCTCCCCCAAATCGGGAGCAGGGCTGGCTGTCCAACCTCCTGCACTCCCTCCTCCCAGCTGGCTGTACCCAACTTGTGTATGAATTTGTGCACTGGGCCTCTAGTCTCTTATAAATCCTCTGCTTTTCTGCATTGCTAGTGCTGAGGACACAGGGTATCTGTGTCTCATAGCCAAAGCACCTGAAGTTCATGGGCCAGTCTCACCTACCTTACTAAACTCAGGATCACCATTCCCAGATCATATTTACAAGCAAGTATTTCATGTCTCTATTCTGTGTTCAACCTTCTCCAAAGTTCTGAAATATAATATCTCAGCTCTAACCTTTATTAGCTGTATGAATTTCAATGTCTTTGTTTCCTCATTCATAAAATAAAGATGAAAATAGATATAAATTTTTAATTGTTGTTAGGATTAAGTGAGGTAATACATGAAAATGCTGTACAACACAGCCAAAAAACTGACTAATCAAGGGATGACCTGAGGCCTTAGTAGACAATAGAAAGAAACTCTTAATTGCCTTGCCTCTCTCACTATTCACCTTCTTTTTTATTCAGTTACAGACTATTTGGTCCATTTCTATCTTTTATTTTCCTTAACAGAAAGGAAATAATTTCTTGCTGAACCCTTCAACCATTCTCCAATTTTTGGAGCATTCTCTAATTGTCAGTCTCTGTAGTCATTTTGTGCTTTGTACTACACACACACACACACACACACACACTATTTGACATCACATGTGATACTTTTTGTTATTTTTCTATAATACAGATTTGGTTTTACATTAAGAAAATTTATTCATTCTTATCTAGCCAACCACGTATTGTTGAATATTTAGTTTATGGTTGTTTTACTTTAATAAATGTTACTATGATGAACATGTAACTAAAGTTTGTACACATTCATTATCTACTGAGACTACATTGCCAAATTTTACATTTCTTAATCAAAGGGCCCATATATAAGTCTTTTGATATTACATTGTTGAATTGCCTTTCAGAGAGTTAACACCAATGATTAGCAAATAAGATGGTTCATCATCTATCTCATTCATCACCCACCAAAAGGGAACAATAAAATACTTTCAATGTTGTATGCTAATCTAGTCTATTGTTATGTTACTCTGCCATGCTTTATGAGTAAATCTGAACATATCTTCATCTACTGATTAGACATTTGGATTTATTCTGTCTTGAATTGCCTATATATTTTAACATCTATTCTTCATCTAGGATATTTTTGTCTCTTTTTTTCTAATGGATATTAAATATATTGAATACTAAACTTTTTCTAAGGTATTATACTGGCTTCTCTAGAAGTATCAGAGAATCAATATGCTAGGGATTGATTGGCTGCCTTTTTTCTAAGGATTGTCAGTAAGTTATTCACAAGAGAGGGTATGGTATATATGAAACATTTGTTGGTCAACTATTCTAGATCTGGAAAGAAAAAGCTTGTTAATTAAGCAAAGCAAACTAATATATAATTTCAAGCAAATTTTTGATGTGAGTGAATTTTGCCTTCATTCCCTTATACTAAAAATACTTATTAAATGTTTTGTAGGTTCCCATGCACTGTTCCTGGCACTAGTTATATTTGAAGAAGTAAGCCAAGGTTCTCTCCCATTGTTTTAGTTTTGTTGTTTTTATTATTGTTTTAAAATTATACTTATTGAGGCTTCCTCATTTTGAAATTTAATTCTAGTAGATACTCATAGTCCTCAGTGTTCCCATACTTCCTGTTCTGCATCCTTCCCCAGTTTACCAATAGTTTTCTGTGTTATGTCCCATCATCACTGGATTTTTCTTTATGATTTTGAACTCAACACTTAATTCAAACTAACATGCTTAAGAGTTAGTTTTAAAAAACATTTCATTCAGTAAATATTTATTGGGCTTTATGTCAGTCTCTGTATATTGTTTACTTTCACAGAGCCATACATATTTTGATTGATAGGAATATTCAGGAAACATCTTAACCTAGTTCAATGTTAGAGCACATTTGCCATTGACAAACTAATAAACTGATATTTGTGTTATACAATTTATTGATATCTCATGAGACTACTTCACAGCAGACATACATTTTCCCCAAGAATTTTCATTTATGCTGAATCTATTTTATCTGGGGTGCTGCTTATTTCTCAGCATGCTGGATCCTACAGGTTTTCCCCTGTAGCTGCTATGTGTAATCAATAAGAAACTTTGTCTTCAGACAAACTTTAAACAAGAGCACTTTCCCACGATGGTATTCAAGATCCCAAAGGGGAAATGGACCTTCACTGGAGGTGCAGTTAGAGAAAGACAGTAAGGATTTCCCAGCTCAGTAGCTGAGTCAGAAGGCTTCATGTTCCCAGAGCAGCAGATGACATCACTGGGAGGGGGGATTATGACAGGATGTTTCCCAGGTGCATCAAATATGTGGTGAGCAGGGCCCTGGTGTCTGAGGATGGAAAGGACTTAATGGCAAAAGGTCTTGTCATGTCCCTCTGACTTACAGAAGCATATGTGTTTCATACTTTGATTATAAATGTGATTCCTCTAAATTATATGTCATTAAACCCAGGTTCAGGTTTTTTAGTCTTTGTAAATATAGGAACTGTTACCAGACCACTTCCATACTGGGGGCTGGCCCTACCCCAGCACAGTCCCTGACCTTTCAGGTTTCAGGTGACCTCCAGGTCCTTGACTTGCTGAGGAAAATTTCAAGGAAGAATCTAAGTGAGAACAAAGAAAGTTTTATTCAGGTAGCAGAAAAGAAAGAGGCCAGGTTGTTGGCGCCACTATGAAAGAAGCAAAAAGTAAATGAGTGGATGTGAGCCAATGTAAGAGGTGAGTTGCATGCATGGTCAATTAGTTCTTGGGATTTTATGTGTTTCCAAGTTGTGTGTGGGGGGGGGGGATGAGGGTGGGAGTGTTGTCGCCAAGCTTTGTGTAGCCAAATTCTGACTCTAGTTGGGAGGGGGCCTTGTTGTTGTAATTTACAGGACCACCTCAGGAGATTCCTGCAATTAACTGTTCCCCTTTGATCATGCCCAGAGGTGGGTGCTCTGAAGAGAGGATGTTAGCCCCCCATACCTTCACTCCACTTGGATCTTTTTCCTAAATTCTTTCAATCATGCCTTAGAGCTACTGTCTTTTTATCATCAGCCAACGCCTTACTGACAAAGTATTGTGATGAAGAATAGATTTCCAGATGGCTCTATTTTCTTTGGATAACTTCTTACTATAATATTTTTTACTCATATTTAGATTTACCAACCACATCTATTTTTCTCAGAACACAGCTGTTCTTTTCAGACAGCCAATATTTTTCTAGCCTTAATACAGTAAAGCTACTGTTATTTGACTTAGACTGATGTACAAATGATTCCAGAAGGGTAAAAACTAATAGGCATACAGAGAGCTTTGAAACATGGTGGGAAAACACATATTTGAAATCAATCTAAACTTTGTAGCTGTCAGACCTTGGAAAATTCTTTAGTCTTGCTGAATTTTCAATCCTCCTTTAAAAAATACCAGTTATAAAATGCACCATGTACAATTGCTATAAGATTTAAATTAGGAAGATATGTAAAAATATATATAACATGGTCTCAAAAAATTATGCCTTTAATTTATGAAATTTCAGGAAATTTGTTTAAAGTGCAATTCCTTGTTCTCCTTTGTCATAGAGTAATAGAGCATATAACTATTATAGACTGAGAACTTCATCATGTAATTAAACCCTTTATAAGAAGAAAGAAAGAGATTGCTTGCCAAAGAAAGACCATGTGAGCACATAGTGAAAAAGCACTGTCTACAAACTATAATAGGAAGTGGGATCTCACCAGACATTGAATCTTCCAGATCTGAATTTTGGTTTTCCCAGCCTCCAGAAATGTGAGGGGGGGAAAAACTGCTGTTGTTTAAGACACACAGTCTATGGTATTTTCTTTTAGCAACTTAAAATAACCAAAGAACAGGCTCTCCCTCTGGGGAGCACTCCAGAACCTTTCCTTTCTGTCCTCATCCCCCTTTACTTACCCTTTCCCTCAGGCACATTACCATTAGTTTCCTCACTCCCAAACTCCAAGGGCCCTTCCTTTGCCTTCTTTAGAACTGGTTTCTTAAGTCCATATCTTCTAGCAAAGCACATCCCCCAGTATGTTTAGTAATTGTTCCAGGAATCTGCATTTAACAAGCTCTCTGGGCAACTTGAGTGTTATAACATAATTAAAACATGGCACTCAATGGAAGTAGAAGTAAACAACAATGATAATGCCCTTTAAAATTATGGAGAAAACAAACAGCAAATATTATTTTAGTAGCTTAAACAATTAATATAAGAACAGTTGCACAGCTATAAATGAGTATAAATACCACTGGGCTTGCTCACATGCCTTTAAAAAAATAGAGATGCCTTACAAAAAAACAAAACAAAACACAAAATGTACAAACTGTGCTTTTCTAGAAGTAGACTCTGTCCTGAGATCCTGTTAAGAGATTCTAAAGTAGAGCCTTGGGTCCTAGAAAGCTGGCAACTGCCATTCTGGTGTGGAAGATTAACTTCCACAAGCAGAAACTGTTGAAGCAGGTGGACTTCATGAACTGGCAGGTCACTGCCCAAAACCTGCACAAACTTCACGTGTTGTGGCCTTATTGGTTGCAGCAGGACAACATATGCTACAAGCAGTTGAGCCATCCAGTGCATGAGCTGGCCTGGCTTCTGTATGACCTGCCTAAGCGCAATCTGTTTCACACGCATACCTTGGCCACGCTGTTGGACAAGCTGTATGATCTTGGTCTGGTGCTTATGCACAGCTTGCTCGCACGAAGTCAGCGATGTCCTAAGTGCCTTGTCCTTCTCCACTGCAGCCTGCCCACTGTGCTCCTTAAGCTGCGCATGAAGCAGCACCTCCAGGCTGCCCTGGCCTTCCAGGAGCTGAGCCAAGTGCCATTAGTCACCAACCCCACCTTCCTTGTCAGATGTAGCATGGAGGACTGGGTTGACTTGTCCAAGATCAAACAATGAGGAGTGTGATGATTTTGATCTGGAAGCTTTCCACCCTCCTCAAACTCCCCCAAACCCCTACCATCACCACTATTGCTGCATTTTATAGATTGGGAAGCTGAGACCATATGCTAGAGATTATGTGAAGGCGCTTTCCCCCAAAAGTGGTCAACCAGTTTTTGGTTCTTTCTTTCTTTTTTAAACATATTTTTATTGATTTCAGAGAGGAAGAGAGAGATAGAAGCATCAATGGTAAAAGACAATCATTGATTGGTTGCCTCCTGCAAGCCCCTTCTGGGGATGAGCCTGGAACTATGTGCCCTGACCAGGATAATAGACCCATAACCTGCTGATTCATAGGTCAAGGCTCAACTACTAAACCACACAGGATGGGCCAGTCCTTGGTTCTTAAGAACTTGGCTCCTCAACTGCAGGCCACATTCACAGCAAAGGGTATGTCCCTGTTTTCCATGAAATTTTCTTAGCACCTGGGCTATTGATAAATGACTGCCTTGAAACAATGGGAAAGAGTTTTCTGTTGCACTGGGAATTGTTAAATTCTTCTACCTTTAACATTGTTGTGTGAAAGCAAGAACTTTGCACCCAGACCCACCCCATCCCCCTTTCCCCTTATTATCTCATAGCAGGACAGTTTGGTTCAATTAATTTAAATCAAATTCTTGCTCCTGTTGGTGATTAAGGTGTGTAAGACTATGGAGAATTTGGTCTTAAGATTTCATAAGATGGGGTGAGACTTTTAGAGCCCAGTATCTCATCCCTTGATTAAAGGAATGCTTTTTCAATGCCAATAAATAGTCAATTGCTTTGTAAGTGTGTGTGGGTGTGTGTGTGTGTGTGTGTGTGTGTGAGAGAGAGAGAGAGAGAGAGAGAGACAGAGACAGAGACAGAGAGACAGAGAGAGACAGAGAGACAGAGAGAGAGACAGAGACAGAGACAGAAATTCCAAAGTAGGATGAACCATAAACCTCACCTATATTTGAATGATTTTGTGATTTTGACCTGGGAAGTGACAATTTCATATGATTGAATCTAATACCATATTATCTGTTTTCAAAACTTTAAAAAATAGTTACAGCTCTATCTCCGATATACATACTGTCCTTTTTCCTTCACAGGCACATGAAAACAATCTATTCTTTTTTTTTTTTCTGTTTGAAGAATCTTTATTTTTTAAAACCATTTATTTTTACATATTTTATTGATTTTTTTGCCCCCCCCCTCCCTCCTACACCTCCTCTTCTTCCCCAGAGTTTTATGTCCATTGGTTGTACTTATATGCATGTATACAAGTCCTTCGGTTGATGTATTATCTCCCCCAGATCCTCCTTTCTTCCCCGCTGAAATTTGACAATCTGCTTGTTGCTTTACTGTCTCTATATCTATCTTTTGGTTCATCAGTTTATAATGATCTTTATTATCCACAAATGAGTGGGGTCATGTGGTGTTTCTCTTTCATTGATTGGCTTATTTCGCTCAGCATGATGTTCTCCAATTCCATCAAGGTTGCTGCAAATGATGAGAATTCCTTCTTTTTTATGGCAGCATAGTATTCCATTGTGTAGATGTACCATGGTTTTTGGATCCAATCATCTGCTGACGGGCACCTAGGCTGTTTCCAAATTCTGGTTATTGTAGATTGTGCTCCTATGAACATAGGGGTGCATATATCCTTTCTGATTGGTGTTTCTAGTTTCTTGGGATATATTCCTAGGAGTGGAATTACTGGATCAAATGGGAGTTCCATTTTTAGTTTTTTGAGGAAATTCCACACTGTTCTCCACAGTGGTTGCACCAGTCTGCATTCCCACCAACAGTGCACGAGGGTTCCTTTTTCTCTGCAACCTCGCAAACACTTGTCGTTTGTTGATTTGTTGACATTGGCCATTCTGACAGGTGTGAGATGGTACCGCATTGTTGTTTTGATTTGCATCTCTCGGATAATTAGTGACTTTGAGCATGTTTTCATGTGGCTTTTGGCCTTCCTTCTGTCTTCTTTTGAAAATATTCTATTTAGGTCCATTGCCCATTTCTTAATTGGATCATTCACCTTCCTTTTATTTAGTTGTATCAGCTGTCTGTAGATGTTGGAGATTAAACTTTTATCAGTGGTGTTATTTGCAAATATGTTCTCCCACACCGTGGGCTTTCTTGTTGTTTTGTTGATGGTTTCTTTTGCTATAAAAAAGCTTTTTATTTTGATGTAGTCCCATTTGTTTATTTTCTCTTTAGCTTCCATTGCCATAGGGGCAGTATCAGTGAAGAAGTTCTTTTGGCATACGTCTGAGATTTTGCTGCCTGTGGCTGCTTCTAGTATTTTTATGGTTTCTAGTCTGATGTTTAAGTCCTGCATCCATTTTGAGTTTATTTTTGTGTATAGTGTAAGTTGGTGATCTAGTTTCATTCTTTTGCATGTGTCTCCCCAATTTTCCCAACACCATTTATTGAAGAAACTGTCTTGACTCCATTGTATATTCGTGCCTCCTTTGTCAAATATTAATTGAGCATAGTGATTTGGGTTGATATCTGGGTTCTCAATTCTATTCCATTGATCTATTAGGTCTCGTAATAATTAATGTCGTTTTCTAATACTTTTTAAATCGAATTTATTTAAACAATACAACAAAATTTAATCAACAATATAGTTGCCATTGTTTTCTACTACTTGTGTCCAACACTCAGGAAGCATTTTAATCCCTCTGTTGTAAAATTCTTGTGATTTTGATGCAAAAAATTTGGTCAATGCATTTTTGAGGCATTCTTCATTATTAAATTTTTTTTCCAAGAAGAAAGTTTTGCAAAGAACGAAACAAATGGTAATCGGAAGGGGCAATATCAGGAGAATATGCAGGTTGAGGGAGAACTTCCCATTCCAACTGGCGCAGTTTTTCAGCAGTGATTCTTGCAGTATGCGGTCGTGAGTTATCGTGGTGAAGAATTACGCCCTTCCGATTAATCAGCGCGGGTTCTTTTTCTCTTAAAGCTTGGGCTAACCTTTCCAATTGGGCACTATACACTGCACTTGTAATGGTTTGGTTAGATGCTAAAAGTTCATAATGAAGAATTCCTTTAAAATTCCACCAAACACACAACATCACTTTTTTCACATGCAAGTCAGGTTTTGGCGTGGGCTGCGAAGCCTCATTTTTGTCCAACCATTGAGGCCACCTTTTCAAATTAACATACAGCACCCATTCTTCATCTCCGGTAACAATTTGCTCTAAAAACGGCAAACGGTTTTGAAGAGAGAGGAGCGAACTGCAAATTGTGACTCTTTGATTACGGTTGTTGTCGGTCAACTCATGAGGAACCCATTTTCCAAACTTTTGGACCTTGCCAAGTGCACACAATTGATTGGAAATTGTTTTTTGTGAACAATTTAAAGTTGTCACAAGCTCTTGTTGGGTAATTTGAAGATTTTGCACCAAAAGAGCTTGAAGAGCTTCTTGATCAAAATTGGACACACGGCCTCGACCACTCTTGTCATCTAACGAAAAATTTCCCTCGCGAAATTTCTCAAACCAACGCTGGCATTTTCTGGCTCTAACTGCATCTTGACCAAGAGCATTACAGATGTTTTTTGCAGCCTCACTTGCTTTTCTTCCTAATTGGAACTCGTAAAGCATGCAGTGCCGAATATGCTCTTCATCCGACATCTTCTTAGCCCTAGTTTTGCAACAAAAACCAAACCAAACACAAACTTTTTCAAGAAAAACTTGTTAATTGCACTTCACACGTTCTGCAGATACCACGTGTTTGAAGGTTATGTCAATACAAATCAACGCCAAGCAAGATTTTAAACGAATGTTTAAAAACGACATTAATTATTACTAGACCCAATATATGTCTGTTCTTGTGCCAGTACCAGGCTGTTTTGAGAACAGTGGCTTTGTAATACAGTTTGAAGTCTGGTATTGAGATCCCTCCTACTTTACCCTTCTTTCTCAGGATTGCTGTGGCTATTCGGGGTCTTTTATTGTTCCAAATGAACTTTTGGAGAGTTCTTTCTAGGTCAGTGAAATATGCCGTTGGTATTTTAATAGGGAGTGCATTGAACCTATAGATTGCTTTAGGAAGTCTGGACATTTTGATGATGTTGATTCTACCAATCCATGAACATGGTACGTTCTTCCATCTCCTCACATCTTCCTCTATCTCTTTTTTCAGTGTCGTGTAGTTTTCTGCATATAGGTTCTTTACTTCCTTAGTTAAATTTATTCCTAGGTATCTTAATTTTTTTGGTGCGATGGTAAATGGAATTGCTTTTTTAGTCTCTGTTTCTGTAGTTTCACTGTTGGTGTATAGAAATGCCATGGATTTCTTGGCATTAATTTTGTATCCTGCTACATTGCCAAATTCATTTATTAAGCCAATTAGTTTTTTAATGGAGTCTTTTGTTTTTTTTTATGTACAATATCATGTCATCTGCAAATAAGGATAACTTTACTTCTTCTTTTCCAATTTGGATGCCTTTTATTTCCTCCTCTTGTCTAATTGCAATGGCTAGTACTTCCAGTACTATGTCAAACAGGAGTGGCGAGAGTGGGCATCCCTGCCTTGTTTCTGTTCTTAGAGGGAATGGTTTTAGTTTTTGCCCATTGAGTATAATGTTGGCTGTGGGTTTATCATATATGGCTTTTATTATCTTGAGGTATAATCCTTGTACTCCCACCTTATTAAGAGTTTTTATCAGAAAAGGGTGTTGGATTTTATCAAATGCTTTTTCTGCATCAATTGATATGACTATATGGTTTTTATCTTTCAATTTGTTTATGTGATGTATCACGTTTATTGATTTGCGGATATTGTACCATCCTTGCATTCCTGGAATAAATCCTACTTGGTCATGGTGTATGATCTTTGTGATGTTCTTCTGGAGTCGATTTGCTAGAATTTTGTTGAGGATTTTGGCATCTATGTTCATGAGGGATATTGGCCTGTAATTCTCTTGCATTGAGTTGTCTTTATCTGGTTTTGGTATTAGGGTGATGCTGGCTTCATAG